AACAATATGTAGGCAGTTGCGGTCTCTAGCGTACTATCTAGTAGGCGTCGATGCGGGCTTAACCGGTCCGACGTAAAAACAGAGACCTAACAAGAACCTCAAAAGCCATGTATTGTGGCCGACATTCGGACGACCGTGAACGTTTCTAAAACATGTACATGAGAAACAATATACGACGCAAGCGTGAAAAGAAAAATAGCCAACAAAACTGTAGAAGCTGCGAAACAACGAACACTGCTTCACATAGAGTTCGCTTAATTTTCACAGGTAGATTAGATAAAACGTAGTTAAATATTATTGTTCCATTTACAATTCAGGTTTAAGGACATCGAATTAACATAGCGTACTTTAAAATCTCGATAAATTTTCTTGTGAAGATGACAAGCTGGCCTACCAGCTTTGCATACATAATTAACAATTAGGACATTCATTCCACTGTACTTTATGCGTTCGGTCAATGTTGGCTGCTGGCCTCCCGTTGTTTGTTACGATGACGCGACAACATAATTCAGTGACGAAAAAGGGTAGTTACAATGCTCTGCCTGAAAAATATGGCTGTACACGTTTGCGCAGCTACAGCAGTATAGCATGGCAATACCTGCATCGCTAGAAAAATACCGGTGCAGAATAGTAGATATTTATGACAATGATGGAAGTCCTATTGATTTATAGTAATCGTTGCTTTTTTAAACGCACTTCTTGGGTGAATACAGCTTGAATTATTAAGTGATGCACCAAACTTCTTATAAGGCGTCGTAAATATAATTGCGTGTTCTCCTCTGAGATTATTGTATATAATTATTCTCATGTATGTATTATTGTCCATTATCTAGAAACTGTGCCCTCGATTACTGTTTCTCACTTCCTTAGCATTGTTGAAGTTCTGGAATAGGTCCGTTTCACCAAATTCGAGACGTTGTCGAATTTTAATAGCAAAGGCCCATATAAATATGCTCCTTGATTTCATTATGGTTTAGGCGGGCAAATTCGAAATCCACTGCTAGCCAAGTAATAGTTGTCATGTGCGGTGCAGTAGTGGTCTGAAAGGGTCCGTAACTATACCGAAGCTGGTGAAGTGAGCTTGGTGCTGCAGCAGACGAATGGATGTTAGGAGGGAAACGAACGGGAGACTCGAAACAGCCCTTTCAAGCCGGGAACTAGTAAAACAGGTTGAAGCTAGTAACCGTGAGGATGCAAGGGACCTAACCAGCCGCACTAACAGCCATCAACGAGGAGGCGAGCAACGACGACCGCTATTACTTCGGCAGTAGCTGCAATGGAGAAGAACATTTGGTCCTCGCGGTCCCTTTTTCTGCTTTTTGCTTGACGTTGACGCCACCCGAAGTCAGCTCGTTCGTCCCTACTGCGCGCATTGAGATGAAGAAACCTTTCAATCATTCCTTACGTACGGGGCGAGCCCTGGCGGTAGTGGTTGCAGCACACTGCCATTATTCCTGACAGCGAAGGCAAAAGTGTATGCCAGGGCAATGGCAGTACGAGCAGCAGCATTCTCCACTTAGCCACGCTCAAACTGACTGGTCGAGACCCACGGTTCGCACGATGCATTGCGGAAGAGAGCGAGAAAAAGAGTGTTATAGTTGCTTCATCCACCGTCAGACCGATCTGGGCAGGGCCCTTAAAGCAGGCAAAGCCGAGCCATCGCCGCGCCGACCGCGTCAGATGCTTTGAGCGCCTTTATTTTTGAAGACGGCGGCAGCGAAGGTTGAAATAGTTGAGAGGCGCCCGAAGAGAGGGTCCTCACAGACAGACGCAAAAATACGAAGAAGAGTGCTCTTTTTCTGTGTACTGTTGCTAGCGTGGCGGTCGTCCCCTCCACCACGACCATGCCAAACCATCACAAAAACTGCAACGGAGGGCAACTGGGTGCCGGTAGCCTCTTCATATTTCACTTCTGCCTAACCTTTGCCCCTTCCAATCCCCTTTAAGCGCCTGTAAAATGACCCGCTTTTAGCCCCTGTCATTTTGCCTAAGCTACCTTATTGCGTCTTCTCTGTATCTTTTTGCCATCAAACAGACTTTTCTTAGTCAATCGAAGCGTAACAATGGCACCGCAAGACCACGTCAGAAGTTGCTGTCGGCTTGCCTAGTTAACTCTTCCTGGCATACAACTGTTAACTTTAACTCTACGTCAATGTTGCCAGATTATCTACTATAGCTGCCTCAGTTATTTCAATACGCACGAAAGACGACTAACGGGCAGACAGACGGCGAAGTAAACGATATACATATACCTGCCCGTGGCATGGTAGAATCATCATAACAATAATTATCAATTCTAATTTGAAATGCTAGTTCCTGAAGCGGTTTTGAAAATCTTAAATAGTTCCCTGAAGGTATAAGGGCTTTCCCAATCTTCCCCTTTAACCCCCACGATACGTTGCACAGGCACCGATCGAATTCAGCGTCAGGGAAACTTGAGCCCGTCTCTGCTCTCGGTCTGTGACAATAATGTTTACCTATGCCGAGTACTGCATGTGCCTGAACTGCTGCGTCTCTGGCCAGCCCGCTATATATTATAAATTCACCGACTACCTCTCCACAGATGACTAAACCCTAATTCCATCTATAGCGCTTACCCTAGACATGGCTATCCGTTTTCTCCAATATCCCCTTCTTATTTTCGTATTATACTCCTTTCTCAGTGTCCTTGTTGTTGTCGTCTGCATTCGTTCTCTCTCTTACTGACTCCATGGATGAGACGGGCGGTGGACAGGATGACAATACACAAACGGAACAGCTGTTAGGCAACAGTGGCAGTAGCAGCAGGATTTATTAATGAACGAATGATCTGGGGGACGGATTAATAATACACGACAGAACATCGTTGAGGGTAGTAGTGACTGTGCATGCTATGACCGCCGATGACGCTTTGGGAGTCGCACGATCGCTGGACCAGGGAGACAAAGTGGCCTTAAACGTAAGTATTGAAACAGGAGGTGGAGGGACGTCGAACTATTTGTGTAGAGGCATTTGGTTGAGCTCCCGAAGTGGACGAATGTGGCAATGGAATCAACAATGAAGGCTGAACGAATGAAAGCATTGTTGTTAAAAGAACCCTCACCAATAGATATCGACGCGAAGCTGCCGAGGAAGACAGTACGGCCGTAGTAAATATAGTCGGTGTCAGCTCACACCCAAAACTTGCTAGTCGATGGACACTTCCAGCCTTTTCACGTAAACAGAAGGAACCTGAAGTCCAAAGTCGAATGGACAATTCGTAATTCCGCTCACATGCTAACGCAGATCTTATAGAAACGAAAAAGCCCTTGTTTACTTCTGTTATAAACACTAATTTGCTGATTGTTGGTGAGATCAATGGGCAGAGATGAACAAAAAAAATTAGTGCTGTTCAATGGATGCAAGGCTCCTAGATGCTTATTAGAGAGAATATCTAATCCGTCGTTTTAGAGGATTAATCAAGTCTATCAATAGGGACATTGTCAGCTTTCGCCTGTATCATTTCTGAATTTTTAAGATCATGGGTCCGAGGTGATATACGTAATCGACCCTCACGAAGGACGATGAGATGATTAGTCTTTCCGAAGTAAATTCAGTATATATATATATATATCCTGTAAGTTGTTTGTATACTTTGCTGTACTGTAGCAGTGTAGTACCATCTTTTCGCAGTTTAGATTCGCAGTTTTTCTCTGCAGCCAGCCTATTCATTCAGTTTTTATTCAGGAAGTAGCGGTTGGGATTTGATGTATACGTGTCATGGCATAAGTGTGATCATCAGGGAAAGGCAAGCGCTTGCACCCTCGTCATAACACGGAGACAAAAGCGCCTGCAGGCCTTTGAGAAAATGGCGCGTTTCTTTTGTGACCATGAATAATTATAACGCCAACCTATCGATTCATCAAAAATACTGGAACCCATGGAACGTGTAATCCTCATCCCTGAATGCATTATATTAGCTCGAGGATGACCCTTCGAGTATTACTCGTATAATTTTGGGCCATGGAAAGGTCATGAAGGGCCCAAATAAGATCGCGCAGCTATTTCCTTCGTCAGATATAAGGCAATTTAAATTCACCCATGCGGCCGGTGCTATTTATTGTTTTATTATGTTTATTAAATTTATGTGGTAAGTAATCTTACCCTTTGGATATAAATATGTAATTGTTCTTATTATTGTTTCAACTATTCTTTGAATGAAGCCGCACTCTGAACATACCATATATCGAATCACGCATCAGTCAGTGCTTATCTTATTCTGGTTTGCCCCAATGCCGAGGGTTCTATATCCGGTCAAGTTCAAAAAAATGTTGAAAACCCACATATTCCGTTATGATAATTTGATAAGTTCATAGCTATAAGTAAATGCGCCTGTCTACAATGAAACAGAATTATTACGAAGTTCTTAGAAATTACCATGTGCGGTAATCAAATTAGTTAGAATAATATTTGCAGTGATATACGTTGGGTAAGTTTTATTTTAATATGATGAGTCAATAAAACAAGGAGCGGTTGCACGGAAGTAGAGCATTGTGGCTTTTACTTGCCAAAAATGAAGTAATCCTTGTTATAGTTCTAAAAAAAGAAACGTGATCGACAGGGCCAACAGCAACAGAACCACACGCTTACACGCAAAGCGTGGCTGCCTTTGTTATGATCTTCACGGCACGTGCATACGGTCACACCGGACACAGAAATTAATTTCATTGTTGGCCGAAAAGTAATACCAAGATCTATATCTGCGTGTTTGTCACGTACATACACACACGCATGTACATACTCAAATACAAATACACAGTTGTGGAAATGATGATGATGATCACTGTGGCTCTATGCCAAGTTGAAAATGATATAAAGTGGATGGTAAATTCTACTTCGGACATTGATCAAGACATTGTAACCGTTATACGAAGCATAAAAAATAGAATTATAAATTAAGTTCTTTTTTTTTTTTTTTTTTTTTTTATTTCATACTATCGTAAAGAGCGCTTGACGCTTTTTATAACATATTACGAATGTGTCGACCCTAATGCAAAGTGTGTACATTATGTAATAATGTATAGCACATCATATATTAATCGTAGATTGTTACGTTATGTATCACAAGAGAGCATGATGTAGACGGAAAAAACAAAAGTAGACAAGCGATTTTTCAAAGTAGAAAATTTGGACTTTGCCTTGTGAAGTGAGCATCGTAACATGGCCATCTATACATTGTTGCCCCATCTAACATAATTATCATAGCGTCTATACAATAAAACATACGATATCACTTTGCTCTCATTCATCAAATAACACTAAATATTCAAGAAGGATTAGATACAATTTCATCTCCTCGGAGTAAATTCTCTTTATCTTTGGGACTCTCCCCCAATACATCTACATATAAAAAACGATTGGGCCTTTGGAAACCACTTTACTATGGATTTCAAGAGTGAGGAGCAGACTGGCTACTTCTTTTAGCCCATTTTCTTTTGAGAACCCTTTTACAAAGCTCCGACTTCGACAGCTGTTTAAGCTTATTTTTGTCTGAGCGCTTCGCCGAATCGGCTGACGGCTATCAGAGACCGCGCCCGTACGAGCTGCCAACGTAATGCCGAGCACCCCACCGGTAGTTACCGTCGTAATCAGTCCTTATGTAGGTATGCACGGGTCCCACAACTCCACCACCACCACCACCATCACGATGACCAGATCGCTTTGAGCGACTTAGAACGGAGCCGGCCATACCAGAAGCGATTGATCGGCGAGCGCGATGATGGACATCAGATGAAGTCATCGAGTGATCCGCAGGCATTCTTGCGCGAAACAAAGAAACCGACCCAAAAGGAGTGGGTAACGACGTAGGCTCAAGTGCGGGCTGAGGAAGGACAGCAAGCGCCACCCGCTGGCTGCTGTCGACCCGTTCAGCGTTATCGTCACCAGCGCTGTTGTTCGGTTCTGGAATACGCCATAAACAATAGTAAGACAAATTTCAGCAGTATATTGGTACGGCGCCAGTCAAACTAACGTAAATGAAGATTTCTGTCTGGCTGATACAGTACCTCTAAGGACTTAATTCCTCTAGTGTAGGTTGGCTATAAATTTCTATCGTAGAAAACTTAGGCTTTGCAAGCAGGAATCTCGTTGCATATTATAGATTCATTCATGGTTACTAATAATACATTTAGTTCACGTGAAAAGAGCATTGTTTTTTGACCGATGACAGATTAATCTGACGTATTGTGTATCCTAATTTTTCGAAAAATCAGCATAAGGAACCTCGCATTATAGGGCTGTCTCAGTGTTAGTATACACCCGTTCGAGATGATACAATACAGATGGAGCATATACCCTCGTCGCGTTCTATTGTGGAAACATATTCCGGCCGCGCTCTACTTTCATCACCTCCCATATCATCGTCTCCATCAGTAGGTGAATCATAGCCGCCGTCATCGTCGCCGTCCGCGGGTGCATCATAGCCTTCATCATCTCCTCCGTCATCAGCCCCATAAGCACCGTCACCTATTACATGGAATCCACTCATGATCAATCAAGAACGGTTATCACTTAGCATTTATCCAACTTGAGGTAAGTCTCGCTGCTCAACAACTACAACCCTCAATACCTTCTACATATACCGTCGTAGAAATGCGTCCTACGTACATGCACGCTGAATACTAATGACGTTTAGTTTAAGTAACTATTCATTGCAGAAACGAGAAAAACAACAGGTTTTTTCGCCAATGAAACACGCTCACGTTCCCTTCAGAACATCTTAAAGGCTCACAGAGGCTGGGATAACTACGTCCTCACAGCTCGTTGACGCTATGCATACACGAAATATAATGGATGTACCCAGTAAAGGGCAAAGGAACACGACTTTGAATTTGTACTGATTATAGAACTATAAAATAGTTATATATTCTCGTAGATGACTCGCAAGTGATGTACGGTTAATTGCAGCACACTGTCTTACTTTTGACGCACTGTGAAAGACGGCCCTAAATAGAAATTCCGTGCTTTTTTCCTGCGTGTTTCGAAACGTTGTTGTTACTGTCGTCGTCGTGGTGGCGTTCCCTGTCGATGAATACCTCTCGGCTATAGTATATCGACGACAACCAACGATTAATCAACGGTAGAAACTTTTACGATGATGGGGATAGACGTTAGCCAAGCCAGCCTGTGGGGGGCCTGACACAAAAACTATATACTATATACGTGTGTATATGCTTTGTGTACACTTTAATACGACGTTTGCGCCAGTGCCGCTGAAAGCTTTCATCAGACCTAAATTGTGATATATTGCCGCATCGCTACGGGGTGCCGAACGCTCATTAGCATGTGTTATGAAGTTGCGTCCTAGAAATTTGCCGAGTTCTCACAACTCGTTGAGGCTATGCATACACGAAATATTGTGATACAACCAATCGAGGAGAATTAGAGATTACATATACGATATAATTGTTAAGTTTGTTCGAAGTAGAAAGTCTCCTCACCGACGACCCTACTTTGTAATAGAGCAGTATTGAAAAGAGGGATTTAACCGTGAGTAGTAGTACGGTTGGAACACACAACCAAAAACACATCCATCCTTATGTGAATCATCTTATAACAGTAGGATGAAGCCGTCCATGACTTAGTGGACTAATAGACTGCATCACTCAATAACGAAATGAGACTGGTTTGATACCTTAATTGGGTTAAATTCCTAGACCGACTACAAAAGTTCGGCAGCCCTTAAGCTGGACGTAATTCTGGAGAGAAAAATGAATTCATACAGAATATGTATCTCTGTTCAAAAGACGAAAGACTTATTACTTGAAATTTACGCTTAACCTATGTTCGAATTTTTGTTTTTTCTTTGTCCTGTTGAGCATCAAGGATCACCATTGTAGGTATCAGGCACAACTTATCCGCTCACCTGACAAGAGCGCACATTCTTCGTTTTGCTGCTATCTGATGCCAATGTATAATGACATTACTTTTCTATATTGGCATTTTCATTAGTGCCCTTATTATTATCATCATCATCATCTCCCTTCTTGTTCGTGTCTCTTACCCATGTCGTCGTCATCCTGAGCGCGAACATCCCTTGTGAAAGTCAAGAGAACGATCAGAAACACAAACCACTTCATTTTAGATACGTCTCCTTGCCTTATATTTGCTGCTCCGCTTATGATAGATACTCAGCTATTTTGATAGACGTAATGGGTAATGTATCGCGTCGCCAGGTACAAAGTGTGACCGTTGTAGGGCCGCGCGCTGCCAGCTATATGTACCCGCCGCCGGTAAAATGCAATCATTTGGAACAACAAGCCAAAACGTAAGGAGAAAATTGTTCTATCTATCCTTTTTACTTTCTTAACCAGTTTCAGGGGGGTGTTGGGTTGGGTTAGCGGGTAAAGGCCGGCGGCGGGGGCGTGTGCTATCCGACTGTCTGCTGTTTGATCTGTCTGGCGGTCGACGACAGAGGCCTCGGCAGCTGTAACAATTTCAGCCAGACCAATCGCGGTTAGAACGAAAAGAAACATAACAACTACCATTAGATAAGTTTCAGACTTATCTAGGTCGGAAGGACTGCGAAAGCCCGCAGGTTTAAATTGGCAAGCTTTCCACAGCTGCGGCAGCGGTTGCGGGCCGTCCAGATTGAACGTTGAATTGCCTTATTACAGCGGCAGCACGCACTCACGCAAAAAAAACTGTAATACGCGACGGCCATATAAGAGCTCACACCACCAGCGGGAAGCTCTATGCTATAGCAAAGCGGACACGGGGGATCTGTTGGCCGACTAGGATGGCAGCAACGAGAAAGAAGTGAGAGTCGACGGCGATCCCGCTGCCAACAAGCGAATTTTAAATGGCAAAACCCAAAAAACAAGCCGATGCCGACGAGGGATGTTGTGATTGAAGTTGTTGTTGCTGTCGTTCTATCGTTATTTTTACAGGGACGCGAATTACGTAACACACAAGGGGTGAACGGCTGAAGCCCACGTATCTGACACTCTGCTGCGAGCAGCAAGAAGCCCGATAAGGCGTGAAGATGCTACTGCATATCCCCTCCCTTTCCCTCCCATATCTTCTTCTCTGCACCTCTCTGAGATCTAATCGAAATCACACTTCCTGTCATGGTCTGTGAAAACACGCGGCTGCAGGCTACATTGGTATTTAGCAGGAGAGAACAGGCCGGCCACTCACTCCTCAGACGACTGGAGTTACGACTAGAGAACCTCTCGACGGGGAACTCACGGAGGCGGAAAGCCGGCAACGAAACGAAGTTTTTTTTCTAACGAAACGAGTACACACGCATACGGAGACGAATCTGCCTGTCTGCAGCTCTGGGAATTTCAGTTACGCAGATAATTGGAAAAAAATCAAATAATAATAATAACAAAATATAATAAAAACGTGCAGCCCGACAGTAAAAATAATGAGTAATTTTAATTTGGTAGAATATAAATATTTTTGTCAAGAACTAATGCAGAATGGAGATAGAAACTTACTCAATTAGCACACATTAACTATAACGAGCTTCAGTTTTTTCGAAGTGCGACACAAACGACGGAATTTCCTGTGTACTTAAAACGAGCTTACGGCAGCCTACATTTCCATTTGAAATGCGGCAGACCCTATGAGACTACCATCGTATGTGTTGAGGCACTCGGAACGTTGAATCGGAGACACGAAACGTACGACATGACGAACGGTAAGTATCTTGAATTTAAAGTTTGTTGCTGAAGCCTCAAAGCATTCACTATCTATTTGAAAACAATGATTTTTTTTTAAATTTCGTCAAGAGGGTTCCGTGAGAAAGGCGACAAGTTCAGAGATATTCGCCATTATTTCCCAACTCGAACTGGGTATCGTGTCATTTAACAAACGGAAATCCCGATTCAAAACGCGTGTTCGAACTTGTTGTCTAGACCTGTCTCTGTTCTTCGGATGTAACCTCTTAACACGCTTCGAGGCACCTTCAGTTTATCATCGTATAAGGCTCTCATATAACTGGATAATCATATAAAGGCTCGTTTCTTTTGTAGCAGTAACTATGACGAACGCAGCTAACCTTTGAGTAACACTCGATAAATTAATGGATCGATAGTTCTCGAATAAATCAATCTCGGACACATCAATTGACCTCAATCTACGAACGAAATTCCACGGAAAAAAAAAAAAAAAAAAAGCTTCACTCCTTTGAATTCCGGTCGGCGCTCAGGAAAGGGACTGATATCGCAAAACGTAATTGCTCCGTATTCCAGTTCAGGCAAATGAGGTGTACAATACAAATGGTTCTCTCGGTTCAGCTAGAGTTCGCGCTGAATAATGTAAGTAACACCTTATCTAGGTGTCCTGATTTACCAAAAACACGCAGACCTTCACGCTCAGAGCAGGCTGATCACAATGAACGAATTGAATGAGTGAATTATTACAAAGCCGAAAGAAAAGGAGGCACCAGGGCGCTAGTTCTATTCAAGTTGCCTAACTTGTTACCCCGCGTGTCATTATACCAGCTACAAAGAGTAATTCGATTGCTAATGTTTTATAGCAATCCCATAAGTTCTACAACTGGTCGCAATTTTTTTTTGTCTGTTACACTTGCTAATTTCTTGAACGTTCTTATTTATTTCAGCTATTCGCCGAGCAAGTTTTGTCTGGGTATTGGTTTAGCGTTTAACGCCCGTGGTGTAGATACATCTAGATAATGGCTTGCTACCATTGGCCATAGATGCTATTGTTTATCGCTTACTCGTCACACCCTACCACCAGCCATCATGGCGGCTAAAGGGCAAAACGATATCACCAAATTCCCTATTCTTTTTAGCAACGGAAGCCCCCGTCAGCTAATGGTCAAAAAGTTGTAGACAATGATGCTCGTGCGGCTGCCTCGAGCCTGTATTTATAGTAAAAAAATGGCGGAAGGGATGGAGAAGTTTTGGTCAGCATTTGTAGGCGGCGTATATGCCGTTGATACTTCGATGAGATTTAGCCGAACTTTTAGCCGAACGCGCCGTCAACAGGCTGATAAAACGCTAACCGTTAGAAGGCAGCGGACTTTGTAGCCAATCTTATTTCTTTCTATGTTATGCCGTCTGTGGAAATCCGCAGTTGTAAGAACTTCGATCTGCTGTCATGGAAGGTAGCGGTTCTTTTAAAAAAGAGTTACGTATAGGAAGACTTTCACCCTCCCAGGACTCGGATTTCACGCGGTCGATAGCTGAATGCCAATTTGTTTCTTATATTATTTCTTTTTAGCTCACCCCACAAAACAATCACAGGTGCCGTGTTTTCTTCTAGGCCGCTACATTTGCTGCTGCTGCTGTTATGTTACATAACTGAAGACGACTCAATGTGTTCGGTCAGCGCTCGAATATGTCTATTTGACGATAATTGCGGTTGCCGCAGGACAGCGATGGGGATGTGGGCCAGTGGCCATAGGGGCAGAAGCGGGTTGCCAGCTCGTACTGCAAAAGCGATGTGTCTAACAACAACAACAACAACAACATGTCGTCTGACTACCTCTGCTGAACGCCACTGTTCCACTTGTAGTTTGAAATGATTCACGTTACTGTCAAGGCGTGGCGTCGTATTCGCCCCTGATAGCATGATGTCCTCTGTCTCGAAATGCGGGTGCTGATGCGGCAATAGCAGTATAACATGATCGGCAGTCAGCGAGTCACAGGGGTTCCGTTAAGGGAAATGGGCGCTCAGACATGAGATCGACGACCCCTGGATCTGTGTGTTGAAGAATGTTGATGGAATCTTGTTTCAGACGGCGCGCATCAAGAGGCTAGCTTAGAACTTTCTCCTGAGCGACTAGCGCCATCGTCGCACGGTTGGGTACGTTTGGCCAGGCCGGTTGCGGCTGTCGCGAGGCATTCGCCGGCCACCATCCACTGTTACAGTGGGCCACAGCCAGCTCTTGCGTTGTTTCCAACACATCGCACGGAATCCGTCCAGCTTTCATCAAGGGATGAACTACAAAGTTCTGGTATGTGTGGCACGCTAGAGGACGCTAGAGAACATCTGAGACTATGGGAAGTGTGATAAAATTTATAAGGGATAGGTTAACTATTTAAATCATACTACTTGAAGTTAAGGCGGACGGTAACTTTAATGTAAGCGAATTCATAATGGTCTTGCTACCACAAATGACGCGAACAGTTGCTGGAAAGTAGCAGGCCTAATGCCTCTCATTGACTGCAGTGAAAAGTTTATAATTAATTTAAGGCTGATTGAAGCGTCTTGCAGATGAGTGTGCTACAAGCGTGACGGTTCTCTCAGTTGAAGATATATATCGGTTGAAAAGATAGATCGGATTTATTGTACTACTCAAATCCATATAGTAGCTACTGGATAGAAATGGTAACTAGGCCTAGGATTTTTTGTTTGACTAGTCAATCAAATGATAGCCTGATCCAGACATAGCTGTACCCTATCTATTGTAGCAGGGAAAGCAATTGATAAGCGTTTTATTCACCGCTAATTTTTTGCCTATTACCAACAAACAAATCGCTCTCTTGCCCCGCTGACTACCATTGTTAATAAGCCGCAGTGGAAGTGATATGCTTTTATAGCGAAGATAGCATGGTCGCTAAAAACACCGTGCTGATCTTCAAAAATGCTCAGTAAGTAAGCGTGTTAATAATTGAAGGCATCATATTGGACAAATGAAAAAAATGATGTCATTTATATTGATCACAAGATAATGTCCATTGCTAATGTAGATAACTGTTCTCGGAACCCGACATATCAAGCACTCAGATTATGATTTTGAGACAGAATCTTTTAGTTTTCTGCAATTCCATAGCAATTTTTAGTTCAATTAGTATAGCATCGACAATGGCAATAAGCTCTACAAGCCGTATAAAATGACAATACGGATACCTCGGATCTTCCCGAGGGGTTTGTGCTAGACAACAACAAATTGGTCTATAAACTACAAAATCGAAGGTTTAAGCGTCTCAGCAAGAGATACACCTTGAAACCGGATATGTGTTTTTATGCGTTCACCACAATGTTATCTAAATATTATTATTATTATTTATTAGTATAAGTCTATTCTAATGAGACCTATTGGGCCTTTATGACCTGTGTACATGGGTAGCATTTTTTAGGTATAAAACAAGCAGCTCCGTAGTTTAACACGGTCACATTAGGTTTGCTAAGGCGAAAAAGTCAGTCATATGTCTAAAAAGATTGAAGAAAATCTAATCATTCG